GCAGCAGACAGCAGTATTTTTGCCTAAGGTGTATTTTTGCACAGGGACAGCTGCTGTGGGCCCCTGTAAATTATGGGGCCCAGGGCAGTTGCCTCTTTTGCCCTGCAGGATAGACAGCCCTGGTTACAGGTTTAGGTGTGAGAATAAAGTGCATCTAAAGCCAAAAAGTTTTGTTTTCTAGTTTTGGATAGAGCAGGAAAGGGTTAGAAGAACCCCCATCAGGTTTTTTATGAAGGTTCTTCTGGTTTTGAAGTGCTATATAAATCTCATTGTCCTGTATTTATATTGCAGCTGTGCTGCTGCTGCTGAGTACAACCATGTGTTCTATGCAATCAGCGTGTTAATGGATCAGCCCAAGTCCTTCAGTGAAGTTCCTGACAGGAAGCCACCTGAGTGTAAGAACTTTGTCTCAAATATAATGAGATGTAATAAGCTTCTCACAGTTTTACTCTGTATTTGTTAAAGTTAGCAACCAGCTTACCAACTTTCTGCTGCACAAAATGACTCTACAGCCAACATCTCATATGCACATCGAAGGTCATACAGAAAATGTTAGATGCCATATCAGGAGGTCATCCTAACCGTCCCCATAGGCATTAAGTGACTGCATTTGATTGGATGCAGTTACTGTTCAACCAACAATCCTCCACTAAAGATGGGCTCGGGCGTGTTCGCAGCTCCACGTGCTGATCCCGCCAGGAAGCTGACAGCGCGCAGCGCCAATCACAGTTACTGAGACATGTTCCCGGTCCGCAGCTGCAGAGATCGGGAGATGTCTCAGTGCTTGTAATTGGCTCTGCGCGCTGTCAGTTTCCTGGCGGGCTCGGCACGTGGAGCTACGAACACGCCCGACCCCATCCTTATTCTCCACCAGGATCCTTCGACAAAAGTTGATTGAAAAACGAACTTTTGTGCCCAGGGGCGTCCGAGGCCGGGTGTCACTCAGAGCGGAGACGGGGTGACACCCCGCAGGGACGTCATTGCGCATGCTCGGTCTTCTAATTGGCGACTGCTGGTGGCCATCTTGGTGATGGACGCCGGCAGAGAGAGGAGGGGATTAACACCCGGCAGGATGAGGTATGCTGCCGGGTCCCCTCCTCTTTCCCAACATTGTCGGGTTCTCAGTCCATGACCGTCAGTTATTTTGGTGTCACCCCTGCAATGGTCAAGCAAAACAAACGACAAACGCACTCAACAATTTGTTACCAGTTATACAGTAAGGTGCACACGAAATGGGCTTTGAACAGTAAAACAGCAGAAAGGCATCATGGCACACTCACAAAACCAGCATGTAAAACAACATGTCTCACCACTAAGGATAATGACAGAGGTTTGGATACACGTCTTCAGCCGAGGATGTGTAAGCCGCACTGCCGCGCCAAGACACCCCTGCAATGGTGTCACACCCCCCTTGTGACGCCACTGTTTGTGCCAACAGGGCCACCCACAGCTCGAATTTTGGCCAATGCAGCAGGAAACGGCTGAAATTCGAGCAGTGTATGGCCAGCTTTACTCTTCCTGCTCTAAAACTAACTAGTTACTTTGCCCTAAATGAACCAAATACAGGGCCACGTGAAGCAGGTTTGGGCCCCCTTCTGTTACTGGCCACCCATCTCTTTCTGTTGCAGCATGGAGAGGCATTAATTTAAGTAAGTGACACTAATTGGCTGATAGACCGTACACTACGCCATGGCATATTGGCCTGAAAGTATAACCATCTAATTTCTATGGGGCATCACATCCATTCGCTATTGTTCCCCAAAAATAAGCCAGAGCCTCGGATACAACCATCCACCCATCACCACCATCCATCCATCTATCTCTATCCATCACCGCCTAAACAGAAATTGGCAAGCATCCAGAAAATCACAAATCACATGCGGTCCGACCATTTGCTAATGTCTGCAGCTTATTCTACAATATTACACTTAGTCATTGAAAGCTCGTACTATAAAATGTATATATAGACAAAACTTTTTTTGTATTGGATAGAGTGGGAAAACCCCATATTTTTTATTGTCTGTAAGATTTCCTACCGTAGATTGCTGATCTTGGGAAGACTTCCCTTCATCTCCTGTCTTGGTGACACAACAGGAAGTGAGAGGAAATCTTCCCAAAGTAAGGGAAAACCCTAACTGTTGTCATCAGAACATTTGTTTCCATTGGAAGATTTCCCCTCACCTATTACTCCCATGACAACTCAGAAAATCAGGTCTTCCACTTCCTCTTCTATTGGTGTCAATGGTCACCAGAACAAATAGAGAAAGTAAATCTTCCCAACCTGGACACAGACAGCAATTAAAACTTGGCACAGAGTCTAACCCAGGGGTAGGCAACCTCGGCACTCCAGCTGTGGTGAGACTACAAATCCCATAATGCTTCTGCCTCTAGGAGTCATGCCCGTGGCTATCAGAGTCCTGCAATGCCTCGTGGAACTTGTAGTCCCATGGGGTGCCAAGGCTGCCTGCTCTGTAACCCTTCTCCACTCCTTTACATACACTTTAACTTTTCATCAAAGCTTACATTCACGCATATGTGTTTTTGTGCAGTACATATATAAAATCCTGCTTGTTGCATTTTAGCAGCGGGTTTCAGTTGACCGAAAGTTCCTGGGGAATAAATGACAACGGAACCCAAAACACAGAGGTGCAGATCCCATGGCTCATGTTTCTGGTCCGCTACCTTTAACCCCTCAATTACTTGGGCACTAGAGCAGGGGTATCTGATATACAGTAGAGAATTATTGGTAATTTTTTGTTAATTGTTATCCAGAATCCCCCCCATTCTGGGGGGATTTTTCTTTTCATTATTACTCTGTCTTGAAAAGTTGCACGCTGTTTTGCAATTGCTCGTGCCAGGCCTTTCTCAACCAGGGTCCGGTGGCACACTGGGGTGCCTTCTGCCTCCCTCAGGGGTGCCTCGAACTTTTCGCACAGGGTTATGCCTTTCCATGGTCCAGAGAGGCTTCTGAGGTGAAGGAGGCTCCTGATGTGAAGGGGGGACTCTCATAGGAAAGGATACAGCCATGATTATGCGTCAATAAACAGACGCCATTGATTCATTACTTGGATTGCCGGTGTCTATGTTATCCTCTCATAAGAAAGGGGCGCCGGGTGTTCTGATATGAAGAGGGCAGTTAATGTTAAGGGGGTTCTTCTGATGTGAAGCGGAGACTCTGATGTAAAAGGAAGGGGTTCCTAATGTAAAGGGGGGCTCCTGATGGAGGTGGACTCTGATGTAAAAGATGAGGTTCTCATGTGAAGAGGGAGGCTCTGATGTAAAAGGAAGGGGTTCCTAATGTAAAGGGGGGCTCCTGATGGAGGTGGACTCTGATGTAAAAGATGAGGTTCTCATGTGAAGAGGGAGGCTCTGATGTAAAAGGAAGGGGTTCCTAATGTGAAGGGGGGCTCCTGATGTAAAGGTAGACTCTGATGTAAGGTTCTCATGTGAAGAGGGAGGCTCTGATGTAAAAGGAAGGGGTTCCTAATGTGAAGGGGGGCTCCTGATGGAGGTGGACTCTGATGTATAAGATGAGGTTCTCATGTGACGAGGGAGGCTCTGATGTAAAAGGAAGGGGTTCCTAATGTGAAGGGGGGCTCCTAATGGAGGTGGACTCTGATGTATAAGATGAGGTTCTCATGTGAAGAGGGAGGCTCTGATGTAAAAGGAAGGGGTTCCTAATGTGAAGGGGGGCTCCTGATGGAGGTGGACTCTGATGTATAAGATGAGGTTCTCATGTGACGAGGGAGGCTCTGATGTAAAAGGAAGGGGTTCCTAATGTGAAGGGGGGCTCCTGATGTAAAGGTAGACTCTGATGTGAAAGGCGAGGTTCTCATGTGAAGAGGGAGGTTCTGATGTAATGGGGGGCTCCTGAAGTAATGGAGAACCCCGATGTGAAAGATAAGGGTTCTCATGTGAAGAGGGAGGTTCTGATGTGACGGGGGCTCCTGAAGTAAAGGAGGATTCTGATGTGAAAGGTGAGGTTCTGGTGTGAAGGGGAGACTCTGATGTAAAAGGAAGGGGTTCCTAATGTAAAAGGGGGCTCCTGATGGAGGTGGACTCTGATGTATAAGATGAGGTTCTCATGTGAAGAGGGAGGCTCTGATGTAAAAGGAAGGGGTTCCTAATGTGAAGGGGGGCTCCTGATGTAAAGGTGGACTCTGATGTGAAAGGCGAGGTTCTCCTGTGAAGAGGGAGGTTCTGATGTAATGGGGGGCTCCTGAAGTAATGGAGAACCCCGATGTGAAACATAAGGGTTCTCATGTGAAGAGGGAGGTTCTGATGTGACGGGGGCTCCTGAAGTAAAGGAGGATTCTGATGTGAAAGATAAGGGTTCTCATGTGAAGAGGGGGGCTCTCATGTAACGGGGGGCTCCTGAAGTAAAGGAGAACTCTGATGCAAAAGGTGAGGTTCTGATGTGAAGAGGGGCTCCTGATTTGCACAGGGTGCTCTGATGTGAAAGGGGGATGCTTTTTTGTGTTTTTGCTTGGGGTCCTCCCTTAAAATCCACCGCAGGTCTCTATCTGGGATAATAGTCTGGTATGGATTTTGGAGCGGCCACATGTCGTTATCTTACATTTGATTTTGCATTTAGTACCTCTAGATTTTTCACACTCTTAAAGGTTGCTGCGTCTGAAAAAAAACTTGAGAAACGCTGTTTTTTTCTTATTATTATTTACGTCACAAAAATTCTAAATAAAAAAATATTTGACTTAAAAACACATCTGCATGAAAAATGTTAAAAGTGCTAAAAATGACCCATCAGCAATTTGTGAGGAATGAGTCGGCTTCAAACAAAAACGAAAAGATTAAAGGGAAAAAAACAAACATGCTGTCAAAAGTTAGCTGGAGCTGGGGGATGGAGCAGGGATGGATTAGACTGGAGAAAGTTATAGGAGGTGGGACAGGATTAGGATTGGGCTGAGCTGGAAGAGGGTGGTGCCCAAAAGTCTTTAGTCCTGACACATCCTGCTGAAGACCAACTTTACTAAATAAACGTACTGTGCTAGCACAAGGAGTCCACGGGAGGATATAGAAATTCCGCCACGTTTGCAGCGCTTTACTAAGGTAAGATCCTTTTGTGTGCTCTGTGCGAGGATCCATTTCAGCATCAATCAGATGATGGGTCAGTTGTTGTCTGAGCTGTGGGTTCCACCTATAATCATCTTTCGTAGGCTTTTATAGGATTATAGGATCTAAGGAAATTATGTTAGAACTTGTATCCCGATACACCCAGGGCTGTCACCTATGTTAGCTGCTAAAAACTGAACTTGTTGCCAATGTAATTTACAGGAAGAAGATCTCCTATGATCAACCTTGGAAAAGGTGGCAGCCCTAGTTAGCTTTGGTTGGAAAAGGTTTGACGTAGTACTTTGTTAGGTCTTGCTGCTTTGGAACAAACTGCCAACCACCAGCTGTTGAGAAACCAGAATCCCCAGTTTGTACAGACATGCTGTGGCTTCGCCAGATCTCAGGAAAGTAAACTATTCCAAAGTTAGTTGAAGTTTGCTGTTACTGTCTATGTGCTCTCGTAGCCATGGCGAACATTTGGGTCCATGGAGCTGCAAGTGTCAGAAATGATCCGACCAGCCGGTTCCGCAACAGCTGGATGCATACAATTGATCCACAGCTCTTTTGTGTGAGGAGGTCTGAGAACACCCATCCGTTCAGTTAACGATTAGATCATTGACAATTCGCAGTAATTGGAACTACACCTACAGTCGTTGAAACCAACAATCCTAGCTGTCCTGAACAAAAAGGATGTAGTGTTGTAGCCACCAATGTTTTGGTCTTAATCCTCCAATCGCCTGGTGCAACAATCAGCGATCCACATTTCCACTTGACGCAATAATTGTTGGTTATCATTTAAATGTCCGCAGCTCTGCATGTGCTATGATAGATGAACGCTTTTACAGATGATCGTACACATATAGGTGGTCAAGTCCCCAACTGTTCTGCGCCATTAAATGCATGAAATCTAATAGAGCCAGAAAGCCCAACCCTTTGGCTCACCTTTAACTATAATGACCGTTGAACGATAATCTCATAAATGGGCAGATAAGGTTTCCTTGGACCAGATTTTTTTATACTGGGATAGTAACGAATTATAGACAATATTCAATTGCTGGAAGATTATTCTACACATCTGTGTATCTAAGGGGGCTTGTTTATGGTCTTGGACAATAAGCACAGCTAATGGCTCTAATGACCAGCCTACAGGTTGTAGAGAATGTAGTGATCAGCCAAAAAGTATACAAAATGAATGATTATAACTCAGTCTGCTGGGTTGCTAGTGCCCATAGACATGAAGATTGTTGCTCAGTGTGGATTGATCTCATGTACACTGGTAGAATCTATAAATACTAATTTTATATTATCAAACAAGTGCCCTTGGCTAAAAATTGTCCCATGTATGGTGACCCTACTAGTTGGTAGTGCAATCTGTTAGTGCACACTGATATGACAATTGTGTTTTTCAACATGGACTGATCTAATTTCCACTGGTAGAACGTGCACATGCTCAGTTTTGGTAACAAACTTCACTTGGCCAATAATCGTCCTGTGTATGACCTTATTGGTGGCTAGCAGCCATAGACATGAAGATTGTTGCTCAACGTAGACTGATCTCATGTCCACTGGTAGAATCTGCACATGCTCTTTTTTTTTTGTAACAAACAACTTCACCCGGCCAATAATTGTCCCGTGTATGGTGACCTTATTGGTTGCTAGCGCCCATAGACATGAAGATTGTGGTTCAACATGGACTGATCTCATTTCCGAATGGTGCTCTTTTTTGGTAACAAACTTCACTTGGCCAATAATCGTCCTGTGTATGGTGACCTTATTATTTGCTAGTGCAATCTGCTAGTGCCCACAGATATGAAGATTGTTGCTGCTCAACGTGGACTGATCTCATGTCCACTGGTAGAACTTGTGCATGCATGCCAATAATTGTCCCGTGTATGATGACCTTACTGGTTGCTAGTGCAATCTGTTAGTGCGCAGCTCATAGACATGAAGATTGTGGTTCAACGTGGACTGATCTCATGTCCACTGGTAGAACTTGTGCATGCATGCCAATAATTGTCCCGTGTATGATGACCTTACTGGTTGCTAGTGCAATCTGTTAGTGCGCAGCTCATAGACATGAAGATTGTGGTTCAACGTGGACTGATCTCATGTCCACTGGTAGAACTTGCACATGCTCATTTTTGGTAACAAACAACTTCACCTGGCCAATAATTGTCCCGTGTATGGTGACCATATGAGTTGCTAGTGCCCATAGACATGAAGATTGTGGTTCAGTATGGACTGATCTCATGTCCACCTGGTAGAACTTGCACGTGCTCATTTTTGTTAACAAACAACTTCACCTGGCCAATAATTGTCCCGTGTATGGTGACTTTTCTTGGAAGCCATCAGATGGATTAAGTAAATGACCGGGATTAAATTATAAGTGTTGTCTCTTAAGCAAAGAGTTTTATATGGTTTACAAACACAACACAGCCAGCAAGGAGTTAAAAGCTTCGGTGTTGTTAATTTAGCCCGCAATCCTCTTTTGGGTTGCCCTCTTTTGTAAAGAGAAGTGAAATCAGGGTGTATGCACTTTTTTTTGTCAGCTGAAATATGATCGGCTGTACCCGTGCAATAGCCAGTGACGTCCCGTCCCAGTTAGTCATGGAAACTATTAGTATACTTCCGAAGTCTGCGAATGTGGGGATAAAGCGTATTACTTGCTGAACTTTTACAACAAGCGTGCGTGCTGCCAAGGGAAGGACGGCGCACTCACGGTTTTGGAAAAGTCAGACAAAGGAGAGGGAGAGAGGATGTCACATTCTGGCAACGTTATAAAGTTTTTGATAGAAAGCGGAAACCTAAAAAAGTATTTAAAGTTCTGGCAAAGGTTAAAAACTCTCTGGGAGCTTATTTTGGTTTGACCCTCTTTGTGATCTGTAGGTGGGATTTGCATTTGGCTACAGTTCACACATGGTGATTCTCATGTTAAAGGCTCAACAAAGGGACCTTTAAATCTCCATTCAGGAGCAAAAGACGACTGCATACCTGTAGGAGGGGAGAACTGAGCGGGCTGGGGGGAGATATGATCTGAGCTTATAGTATATATGAAGTAGACATGTGCACTGCCAAAAAATTTGTTTTGTTTCGTTTTAAATTCGGATTTGTGTTATTTCGTTTTTCAGGATTCGGGTGTGAAAGTCAATTCGGATTCGGAATTCGGACAAAATTCGGTAGCGTTAGTACCAACGTTCGTTTCGTTTTCTGTTCTTATTCGTTTCGTTCGTTTGCAGCAAAAGTGACATTTGAGGGGGAAAAAATATTTTTCTCCTTCTCTAATGTCACTTTGCTCCAACGAACGAAACGAATAAGAAACGAATAAGAACTGAAAACGAAACGAACGTTCGTACTAACGCTACCGAATTTCGGAAATGGAAATTTGGATTCGTTTGCATTCGTTATGTCTGTAATTCGGATACATCCGAATGTCCGAAAATTCGTCCGTGGCTGTACCCGTGCAATAGCCAGTGACGTCCCGTCCCAGTTAGTCATGGAAACTATTAGTATACTTCCGAAGTCTGCGAATGTGGGGATAAAGCGTATTACTTGCTGAACTTTTACAACAAGCGTGCGTGCTGCCAAGGGAAGGACGGCGCACTCACGGTTTTGGAAAAGTCAGACAAAGGAGAGGGAGAGAGGATGTCACATTCTGGCAACGTTATAAAGTTTTTGATAGAAAGCGGAAACCTAAAAAAGTATTTAAAGTTCTGGCAAAGGTTAAAAACTCTCTGGGAGCTTATTTTGGTTTGACCCTCTTTGTGATCTGTAGGTGGGATTTGCATTTGGCTACAGTTCACACATGGTGATTCTCATGTTAAAGGCTCAACAAAGGGACCTTTAAATCTCCATTCAGGAGCAAAAGACGACTGCATACCTGTAGGAGGGGAGAACTGAGCGGGCTGGGGGGAGATATGATCTGAGCTTATAGTATATATGAAGTAGACATGTGCACTGCCAAAAAATTTGTTTTGTTTCGTTTTAAATTCGGATTTGTGTTATTTCGTTTTTCAGGATTCGGGTGTGAAAGTCAATTCGGATTCGGAATTCGGACAAAATTCGGTAGCGTTAGTACCAACGTTCGTTTCGTTTTCTGTTCTTATTCGTTTCGTTCGTTTGCAGCAAAAGTGACATTTGAGGGGGAAAAAATATTTTTCTCCTTCTCTAATGTCACTTTGCTCCAACGAACGAAACGAATAAGAAACGAATAAGAACTGAAAACGAAACGAACGTTCGTACTAACGCTACCGAATTTCGGAAATGGAAATTTGGATTCGTTTGCATTCGTTATGTCTGTAATTCGGATACATCCGAATGTCCGAAAATTCGTCCGAATTTCAATTCGGAACGAAACGAATCGCACATGTCTAATATGAAGTATGGGTTTTGCTTGGATGAAGAACCACAAGATGCAGCATGCGCAAATCGGACTCTGACACGGCATGCTGGAATTTGTGGTGGCTCATCAGGAATCGGAAGATTACTAAACTTGACCACTTTATTCCACCTTCCTTGCAATGCCGACACACACATGCTTGGTCTTTTTTCCTAAATGACTGCTTTTCTTTTTAAAGGCCAGCAGATTACCATACATGCTATGAAAGCGACATCCATTCATGATCAGTTTTTATCTTGGGAGTAATTCTCGGCTTGGGTGCCCCGGGTGCTGGTCACACACATCAATTTTGCATTTTTAAAAATGATTTTATGAGCTTTGGTAGGGATGCACCGATATCAGTTTTTCGGTATTGAGTAGGGAGGTTACATGACCACATTCCTAGAAGTATTAGGAATTTTTAGGGGGCTCCATCAGATGAACAAAACAACGGTAGACTGAAGGGAAATTATCAGTGGGAGGGAGTTATTAGAAGAACACGTCACTTTGAAGTGTGAGCAAAATGACAATTTCTCTATTGATATTTAAGCCGTTGCCTTGCACCTTTTTCCCTTCTATCGATCGTTGGGTCTTGGTGGTGACCAATCATTCTTGAATGTCT